CCAGAGTTCCTCAGCCAGCAAAGCTGGCTGAGGAACTCTGGGAGTTGAAGTCCACAGGTCTTAAAGTTGCCAAGGTTGGAGACCACTGCTTTAAATGATTTCAAGCAGGCAGCAAATACATTTTTATTCTACATAGTGTTTACTGATTTTGACCAATATTGGTTTAAATAAGACTCTTTAAAAGTCTTCTTATGCCTTATTGCTTATTGCTTAATAATGTTTTCTGTTCTATAATCCATACTGAAACCCTTATTAAAATGATATAGTTATTCCTGAACCACCCTCCAAAGGTTAAATTTCTACATAACAATTGTGCTTATTTTCTGCTTTCCATGGGAAATCCATGTTGTTAAAAAAAACCCTCAAGCAGCAATCTATTGACCTGGAATAAATTCAGTAGGACGAACCAAACAAATCATTCAGCAGACCAAACTCTGCAAACTTGAATCTCTCTCTTTTTTGTTTAACCCTGTATCTTAAATTCTATACTGTGGAAAGGAATGCTGATCATATGTCATTTTTCAGGCAAATAAATTGAAGAAGGAAGACGAGCTCCATAGAAACAAGGTCCAGATACTGGAGATGGAACTAGCATCTCAACAGAAATCATTTGCAAACTTGAACACCAAGGCAGAGGAATTAAAAGATGAACTCATGACGCAGAAGCGAAAGCATGCTGCAAATCTTAAAGATCTCACCAAACAACTTCAACAAGGTTAACATTTCTCAATCTTTGGCTTCTTCTGTGTGTATTTGACCTAGGAATTAAAACATCAGCTTTGCATCAAAGATGTTGTGTTTTGTCTCATTAGCACGGAGAAAATTGGATAACCTTGAAAATGGCAGTTGTGATAAAGAAGTCAGCAGCATGGGGAGTCGTTCCAGCTCATCAGGTGAGATATTTTGCTGGGTTTGTGAGGAAACAAAGCTATGTTAATGCTAATAACATAAGCTACAGCTGTAAAATCTGCCATGAGAATACATTTGGTTAAAAATTTCCTACAGATCATGGCGTACTTGAATATGTACATGTTACCCAATCCCAGTTAGCCAAAGTACCTTTCTTGATTTTTCTCTGAGAGCATAATGTTTCTGTGATCTTCCAGATCCAGAATAATTTTGTACTAATATCTCATGGGATAAACTCAGGCAAATTTTGAAAAGTGTGTACTGTATAGCTATAAGAATGTATTCATAGATGAAAATATTTTAAGGTCAAGATAGAAAATGCAAATAATGTGTTACACTCATATGCAGTTAGAACACTTCAATTTTCTCTACTTCACTCACCTACACATTGTAGCTAATTTTCATCCAACAAAAGTTGCATTGTCTGCTCTTTCATTCCTGAGGTCACTTAGTACTTTATGCAAATGCTGACACACCATTGCTGATATTTTAAGGGTAGCACAAGCTGACTCTGCTATATTTTCAGTTCCTTAAGAATACCGTCTTCATTTATCTGTAGGCGATTTCATACCCAAGCAACTTCTGGATGTCATACAATTCTTTTTTCTTTTCTTTTGCTGACATTTAAAGTTCTTTTGGTTTCTTTTTCTGATTTCCATATCTCGGTCGTTCTGCCCAAGAGTCCCACAAAAAATGAGAGCCATATGTTCTTTATTGCAAAATGAATACACAAACAGAACAAATGGCGCCAGGGAGATCTGTGAAAAACGGCTTAGTTTGCGAATTCTGCATGAAATGCAGTTGTGGTTCTGTGAGGCCATGGCGGAATACCTAAGTAATCCTTGAATCCTTTTGACCTTCCATCTCTAACTGGCTTTTTTTAATCTTCAGAGATTCCTCTGAATAAGATTTTGGTGATTTAAAACTGCTGTCTGAAAAGTTACACACATGAAGACTCAGTTTATGCATTACCTGTTGACTCTGTTGCTTTAAAATTTATTTTTTTCCTATAAAACCTTCAAGCTAAAGATAAATTATTAGTTATTGGTGTAGAATTTTCCAATAATCTATGTGATCTATAACTGGTATCAAAATATTCACTTCGAGGTTCAAAAAGTTTATGGATGCTATTTCCAACTCTTTTTTATTTTTCTTGCCAAAATTAATTTCATTTAAAGAACTTTCATGAATGTTGTTAGTTTCTGAACAGACACAAAACAGGACCTAATTCTGAACATACATGCTTTGGGGGTGAGGGGAATCAAAGGAATGGGGGGAAGGAGGGAAATTTTTCTTAAAACTAAACAATCCAATTAAGATGCACTTGGTTTGGCAGGGTCCCTTAATGCTCGGAGCAGCAATGAAGATCGTTCACCAGAAAACACGGGCTCTTCAGTAGTAGTTGATCATTTTCCTGAAGTAGACAAGACTATCTTGATTGAGCGGATAGTAAGACTGCAGAAAGCACATGCTCGGAAAAATGAAAAGATGGAGTTTATGGAGGATCATATCAAACAACTAGTGGATGAAATTCGGAAAAAAACCAAGTATGTACCTTTCATTAGCTAGGAAAAGAAGAAGGCACAGTAAAACCCTAGTATTGCCCACAGCACGTTTGGGAAGTAAAAGTTCAAATAGTGGTAGCCTTTTCCAAATAGCCCCAGGTATTTGAGTAAGGAAAAAGGCATGTAGACTATAAAAGGGGGAAATTTCCATTTTCCAGCCTTATATATGAATTCAGTAAAAAGACTGTCTTAGTAATAAACAGAACTTGCTCTGAAATTAAATGAAGATAGCAATGATGACTAAACTGTAGAATTATAACAGTTATGTTTTGATGTATATAACATAGTTGGTGCTATTATGAAAAGGTATGTAGTTGATTCTGAAAATAGTCCAAAATAAACTGAATCAAAAGTAGTTACTTGCTAGAAAGCCATTAGCTTAAATTTATTCCTGCACTGTTCTTTCACTGGCTTATTTTAGAGCTAAAACTCTTCAAGTTCATATAAAAATATTTGTGTTAACTCTGCCATTCAATATTCTGAAGTAATTGTGTGGCTGCACGTAATTGCAATGAAATGTTTAATATGTACCCTGGCAGAATATATCATTATAGATCTCCAACTTTGTAACTGCTAATTGAAACTTACATGGTACAAAGACCTGATCCTTAAAACAATATCCAATGTGGTAAAGTTTCTAAGAATTTACCAAATTAGCTCTATGGTGATATTTTGTCATTTGCAAACAGATCACTGAACTAAGTCTTGCCATCTGGAGCAACTGAATGAATTTTGGTAGAAATGATCACATAAAACATTTTTGACAAACAAGTTTTGTACATTAATGGTAACTGGAAGTATAATTTAGGCACAAACTTATTCCTTAGTTTTATACATTTTTTTACTGAAAAGATACAATTTTTTCCATCGTTTCATGTTGTTTTCTTGCTATTGAATAGCTATGATATATATAAAAGTCTTTTTAGTTACTGCCAAGGTAACTAACTGCCAAGGCTCTTTAGTTAAGAGCCAAGGTGGCGCAGTGGTTAAATGCAGCACTGCAGGCTACTGCTAGAGCAGCAGGTCAGCGGTTCAAATCTCACCGGCTCAGGGTTGACTCAGCCTTCCATCCTTCCGAGGTGGGTAAAATGAGGACCCAGATTGTTGGGGGCAATATGCTGACTCTCTGTAAACCGCTTAGAGAGGGCTGAAAGGCCTATGAAGCGGTATATAAGTCTACTGCTATTGCTATTGCTATTGCTTCTGAAATTTGCATCTATTGTATATCAAGTGTAAAGACCCTGGGAATCGCAGATCTTCTGCAATTGCATGTGGGTAGTTTACTCCAAGTTAGGAGAGAAAAAATGACCCAGGAAATAGTTGAGCAGGGATAATTAGAATATTCAAAGACTGTACAAAGAAAAGGGAAATGAATGATATAATGGCAGTTCACATATTACATTTTAATATATATCTTATAGAAAGCTTTCTGTTAATCATTTGGTATATTGGACTGTGCAGCCTGCTCAAAAAGCTATATCCATGTGGTGCAGAACTTGAATGTTATGTTCAGGAGCTAGGTTCATGCATTGCCCTGAGCCTCCTTAGCCTGTAGTTTCCTTAGATTTGGTCTAGCAATAGCAATAGCAGTAGACTTATATACCGCTTCATAGACCTTTCAGGCCTCTCTAAGCGGTTTACAGAGAGTCAGCATATTGCCCCCAACAATCTGGGTCCTCATTTTACCCACCTCGGAAGGATGGAAGGCTGAGTCAACCCTGAGCCGGTGAGATTTGAACCGCTGACCTGCTGATCTAGCAGTAGCCTGCAGTGCTGCATTTAACCACTGCGCCACCTTGGCTCTTGACTATCAAATGGATAGTCTAGCACTATCCATGAACTCATTTCGTCTAGTTTGCAAGCCATAAAGTATGCCACTGTGATTTATGTTATACATATCCTTGTTTCTCATTTGGGATAGAGAGTTGCAATTCCGTAAGCATGTAAATGGAGTTCCATTGTCTTTAATAAGTAGTAGAGATAAATAGCAGCCTGGCCCATTCTTCCAAAATTACAATACAGGACTTCCCATTCTTGACATTTTCAAGAATCATGCTCTGGGTAAAGCGTAATAAATTGATTTTCTTAGTTAAGGTATAAAGCCGATGCAAATGAATCAGAACCTTCTCACAAGGGCACAATTTTTCTGTGACATTGTCTTACGCTACTTTGCTTTTTATGTAGAATAATCCAGAGTTACATTTTGCGGGAAGAAGCTGGCACGCTTTCATCTGAAGCATCGGATTTCAATAAAGCACATTTAAGTCGGCGCGGTGGAATCATGGCCTCTCTCTATACATCACACCCTGCAGACAGCGGACTCACATTAGAACTTTCTCTGGAGATAAACAGGAAACTTCAGGCAGTCCTGGAGGATACCTTATTGAAAAATATTACCTTAAAAGTGAGTATTAAAATAACATCCCACAATACACTTTATAAAATGCTGTGCACTGTTTCATAGTAGCTTTAAAAATTGCAGAACAGTGAAGAATTCTATAGGGAATGTGCAGGAAAATTAACCGCGGGTTCGAATAGCAATTTCCATTAAGAAAAAAGATTAAAGCCACAGTAAAATAAATTTGATTAGAATTAGGGTTTTTACTCTAAACACAATGGAAAGTAGTTTTCAGAACAGTTAGGAGAATTTTTTTTTTTAAAATTTGGGTATATTCTTGTTTTAAGCAAAATAAAATAAATATGTAATTTAATTGTTGTATGAGATGTTTGACAAAAGAAGCAGTCATTATTAATTCCAAAACTAAAGCCCCTCAGATGTGTCTTTCTGGGGGTAGGGGGTTAGGTGAGATGGGAATTTCCCTTCAGGAACACCAGGATTCTATTGGGGAAAGAGAATTTTATTGTGGAGACTTTAACTGTACATGTGAGAAACTCTTCGTCCATTATTTCTGCTGGTAACAGGTATTCTGAGGCAATTTTGTCCTTGAACCACTGGCCAAAAACCCCTCTGTTCACATGTAGGGCCCATAGCAATGTCAGCAAGTTTGGGCAATTTTACTCCTGTTAGAACTAAGAGGAAGTTTTAAAAAGAGAGCAAGGACACAATTAGGCTTATTCCTTAGTCACCAACTAGTACAAATTGAAATTCATCACCTCTACCCCTTTTAGGACTAATCTATACTTAAATGAATCTTCTAATGATTGACTAGATTTAAGGCCAAAATGTCTACTTCAAAGACTGACTGGAAAATGAAAGTTTCTTGATATATTTTTTTATAGTTTTCAAAGCCCAGTTCTTATTTATTATTTTAATGTTTTATATGGTATTTTAATTGTATGACTATAAGCCTCCTAGAGTCTCCTTGGCAAAGTGATGGCATAGAAGATTAACTCTAACTCTAACTCTAACTCTAACTCTAACTCTAACTCTAACTCTAACTCTAACTCTAACTC